CAAAAGCCGCAACACAAATACAAGAGCCGCAATTCCAATTGTGTTGCGGCTCTTGTATTTGTGTTGCGGCTTTTGTAATTGTGTTGCGACTTTTTTTTGTGTTGCGGCTCTTGTATTTGTATTGCGGCTTTTGTAATTGTGTTGCGGCTTTTGTAATTGTGTTGCGGCTCTTGTATTTGTGTTGCGGCTTTTGTATTTGTGTTGCGGCTTTTGTAATTGTGTTGCGGCTTTTGTAATTGTGTTGCGGCTCTTGTATTTGTGTTGCGGATTTTGTATTAGTGGTGACACCTCTGGGCCACCCTACACAAGTGTAAAACAAAACAAAAATTAGTTTGGAACAGCTTTCTGGACAATTTCATCTTTTTAAAAGTGCAGCCTTGAAAAAAAGTTAAATAAAAATATAAAAACAGTAATATAAACATATGAATGTAAATGTACATTTTTAGCTAGTTCTAGTTCTGATGCGAACTGAGATCCGAATGAACAGAAACATAAATTGGCAGGCTGCACGTCTTTATCCTTCTTAACTCTTTATCGGGCAAGTTACCATTTTATGATCACTTACATTCCCCTTACAAATGGAGTCCCCCCTGTCCCTCAGTGAGGTCTAGAAGCACAAGATCTATATCCAACCATTCAGCAAATATGCTGCTACATGGCTGTACATCTAATTTTGCCATTTGACCAATAAGATGCGCCATTGAAGGATATATTACCTACTGGAAATTAAGTTGAGAAAAAAAGTTAACAAATCAAGAAAAAAAAGGTAAAAAGCTAATTGAAAAGTTAAAAAGTAAAGTTAAAATGTTAATAAGCCTAGTTTACAACTATAGTTAGGTTTATAAACTAAAAAATGTAGGTGCCAATTTTTTATAGAATTACTTTTGTTATTTTTCTTGATATATTCGGGCAAATTGGCGTTTCTTGTTATTACATTGACATTAATTTTTGCCATCAAAATATCCACATTTTATTTTTATTTTACAAAGGTAATAAGGTCTTGTCCCTATTGGCTTGAAATTTTGATTTTCAAACTAGTTCACTGAGTTTCACGGTCGATTTTCCATAATCAGACTTCAAACCATCTAGATACATGTCATGATCTGGCCTGTTTGCTCTCCCTTAATTGGTGAATCCTCTTGCCTGCCGTTCTCCCTCCCTGCCTCAATCGTAGTTTATTCCCCTGACCTGTTTCCTCTGGTTTATATTCAGTTCAGCCTGAGCATTCAGGGCCAGATCATTGCTTGTCTTTCTGT